GTAATTTCTATCACTGTTATACTGGTCAGCGAAACACCCATAACAAAGAGGATCGGTCGGGATTGATGAGGCCTACAGCACTAAGGGTATTTGTCATGGGCTACTTCTATCCCTCTTAGTTAACATTTGTGTTCCTCAGATTTAACTTTTCTTTTGAGATCTTGAAATGTTTTGCCTCTTCTAGCCGTGAATAATTAATTAAACCCGCGAAGGTCTCATTTGTGTTAAATTATGCACAGATTGCAGCGCCCCGAGACTCCCCTGAAGGCGAACTCAAACATAATACTCGACTAGAATGCACATCTGCTGCTCGGTAAAAGTCGCCCTTTGCCTACTGAATCCCGGTTTACACAATTAACGCATTTCCACGAGGTGCTCCTCTGTAACCACCACATTAATTTGGGTGCCCCAGCGACCTTAGCACTGCATTGGTGCAAAATGGATGCCTTTGTGTCGATGTTGGCACGCTCAAAATCATTGTCAACTGAGGGAATTATTTCCGCCTAGCCTTTGTTATTTACCTTGCTCCCTTTGGGCCCGTGTAGGTACAACTGTTCTGCCACCTTGTTCGTCTACTTCGGTCCTGTCACTTCTACTTTGAAATTCTTATTCTGCCTTTTTGCCGCCTACACCTACATATAGTCTCAATAGGGTTCAGACAAATTTGATTAAGCACACAAAATCATTTTTTTTTATTTTTTACTTTGCAAAACAAAGTTACAACCATGTTTAGTGTGCTTATAAGTTGGTGGGGAGACACGGTCGAGGTGTAAACGGATAGTGGAATAAATTATGGTGCGTGATCTTTCATTGTTTTCACTATTAGGAGCACCTTATCGGACCTAGGGTATGGAATGAATAGTTACTTTTACGAGCTCACACCACAACAAACAAACATTAGCGCCCTCCCACTCTCCACCTTCTGCCCTCTCTAATAACATTTATGAGACAAATTATCTCTCTTGAGAAGGGTGATCTCGTTACTTTGAAGACCGGTTTATCCTAAATGATGCTGCAAAACGGACAAAAGAAAACAAAGCTGTGATGATAAAGGCCTTAAAGATTGCCTTACCAATCTAATCCATTGTAATGACTAATGCTTGTCATTTTGATCATTAGATTTCATCGAACGATGCCGTACTCTCAACTGTGACATGCTGTCGACGATTGAGAGAATTCGTTCGAGTGGCAAAAAGAGCTATTGAATTGCATGTCGAATCAGTGCGTCTGGAGACCTTTAATTCATCTCTCTTGGAGCTTTCCCATTCCGTAAACCAAATGGTGGAGCAGGAGTATGCCAATGTCTCGGCGGGTGCTACAGGCCTCATGAATGCCTTCTCCCGCTCCGGTAATAGTAGACGCATCTCCAATATTAATCCTACCAAAACGAGAATGAGTTCAGTTCGGGGAATTTGTGAGGGCTTAAGGCAAGGGCTCTCCCTTGTCTCTCGAACTAACACTCTCCTAGCTAGTGAGTTTGGGGATTATGCACCCCTTCCACCCAGAACTCATCGTCACACTTTAGTAGTGGTCTCCGTGTTGATCGCAGCGAGCCACATCGTCAACTCCGGTCTTCTCCTCCTTTCTCAATCCGATTTAACTCGGTACACACACGCCGAACTTTGGGAGATCACGCGAGGAATTGAGGAATTAAGCATGCTCATCGAACACGTCCAGGAGCAGTTGGACGAGAAAAAACAATTTCAGCTTCGTTGTCTGCTCCTAGACGAATGTCCTCTTGGTAGTAATAATGCACCTCTCGAGCAGCGACTCTCGGAGCTCTCCCTTCTCACTGATCCGATCGACAGCTTAAGGCCAGCCTCTGTGGGTCACATAATCTACCTTCTCGCTCGCTACCGCTCTTCAACTCCAGCTCGCATTCTTGTCGGAGATTTACTACA